GTTGGTTTAGGTCACAGATAAATTAGTCTGAGCTTCTATTCTTTCTATAATATTTTAAAAGCAGAATTATACTTTATATAAAATCTCAATTAAATATTCAATAAAGATAGAGGCATGGCCTCACCATTAATATTAAAAAAAATAAAAATAAAAATAAAAAATAGCAACCTCTCTTACAACCCTTTTACATAAAAATCAACCTTATATATAAAGGGTTGAGCAAGATAATATATTTGCTAAATTAAAAGAAGCACTTGTTAGTGCCCGATATTGGAAATTCTCAATCTAGAAAAACTATTTATAGTCACAACTGATGCATTTGATTTCACAATAGGCGCTGTGTTAAGTCAAGATCAAGAACATGGAAAACAGCCAGTAGCATATAAATCAAGAAAAATAATTTTAGCTGAAATAAATTATCCTATTCACGAAAAGGAGCTTTTGGCAGTAATTCATACATTGAAAATATGGAGGGTCTATTTAGAAGGGCAACCTTTCACCATAATAACAGACTATGCAGCACTTGAATATATAAATATCTATCGTGCAGGCAAGCTAGATAGTTAGAAATATTATGATCTTATGATTTTAAAATTAAATATAGACCTGAGAAAATAAATATAGTTGCTAATGCACTATTACAGAAGCCAGAAGCTAATATCATTTCAATGATTCTGAGTTCTATAGAATAATTAAGGAAAAATATGCAAAGAATAAACATTTGACACAAATAATTGAGGTATTAAAAGATCATGACAGTAGCAATGCTAAGCAGTTAAAACACCAAACCTGACAGTATTAACTGGAGGATAATGAATTGCTTTACTTAGTAGAAGATTTGGACAACTTACGGTTGTGTATAAGTCACATATCCAGGTTAAAAATAACAATAATGTATGAATATCATGATTTAAATAGGCACTCTGATATAGATTATACATTTAATAGCATGCAGCAGCTGTACTATTAGAAGAAAATAGGAAAAGATGTGAAGAAATATGTAAATAGTTGTGAAGATTGTCAGTGAAATAAGTCATTTAATTGAGCACCTACCAGTTTATTACAATCATTACAAGCTTCAATAGATTTTATAACACACTTACTACTCACTAGAGAAGGGTATGACTTTATTATGATTGTGGTGGATAGGTTTAGCAAAAGAGTATATTTTATTCCAACTCATGCAATAGTGACAGCACCAGAGATAGTGAAATTGTATTTTTGTGAAAATTTTAAAAATCACAGGCTGTTATATAGTATAGTGTCAGATAGAGATCCAAAATTTGTAAGCAAATTTTGAAAAGAGCTATTCAAGTTGCTAGGCACAAAATTATATATATTTTTAGCAGCATATCCACAAATGATTAGGCAAACAGAATGGGTAAATAGAGTGTTAGAAGAGATATTACGAATTTATGTTAACTATCACCAAGATAATTGAGATCAGTTGTTGTTAGCTGCAGAATTTGCATATAATAATGTTTAGCAGTCATCAACTGGATTTATCACATTTCAACTTGATTATAATTACCAACCTTTAACTTCTAGTAGTATGGTAGCTAAAGCCTTAAAGAATGTAAAGATAAAGACAGCTCAAAAGCTGTATGAACATTGGGCCATAACAATAGAAATAGTGAAGGACACCTTAATTTCAGCTTAGAAAAAACAGACAAAATATTACAATAAAGGTTATAGAGACCTGAATTTCAGGAGGGAGACCAAGTTATGCTATTGACACAAAAACTGATGCCAGCAGCAGACTTAAAAAGAAATTCAAGAAAATTAGTTTTGAAGTTTATTGGTTCTTACAGGATTGAAAAAAAGTGTCAATGACAGCATATAAACTGTTTCTGCCTCCAAATATGAGAGTATACCCAGTGTTTCACATATCTTTATTGAAACAATATATACCTAATAAGTTTGAAAGAAGAAATGAGCTACCACCACCCTTGAGTTTTTTGTAGATTCAAATGCAAAACCTGACTTTGAAATTAAGAAAGTTCTTGATAAATAAACTTATTATTGAAAACCACAATATTTGATTAAATAAAAAGGATACCCCCTTTATGAAGCACGTGGGAGCTCTTGTCAAATTTAAAAATACTATAAAGTTGGTCGAGAAGTATGAGTCAGACAATGTGAAAGTAGAAAATGAAGATCTTCAAATAAGGTGTTCTGGTTTAACTGGAGAAGAGTTTAACGGGTTAAATCTGTGCCACAATATTTGATCTGGCTATAATGGCTTTGTTGATGATGATATATAGGGAACAGTGATCAATCATAACTTAGATAAATAAGGAAGTAATTAGTAATGTATTTAGAATCAAAAATAAAATAATATGAGTCATGCTTGTTATGCTTATGTGATATGATTACGATCAATTATCATGATTGTACATCTAGAAATAAATTAGATAATTAATTGCAGGTTGTAGTTAAATTAATTAATTGTAATATGCATAAAAAATGAGGTAATAAAGAAATAGTTAGTAATAGCCAATATAATATAAAAGCAAAAAAAGATAATAAATAAAGAACTTAACCACTTTTCTTCTAGCATAATTAACTTTAGTTTCTAGTAACAGATGTGTAGAAGAAAGCATGGTTACAATTAAAAATAAAGATACTAAAATTTTTATAAAGTTTTTATATTAGTGAATAGTTTAATAAAGTTGTTATTATAATGAAAAAATAATTTGATTTAATTTTAGACTTTTTTAATTATATTTTTAATCTTCTATATTTAGTAAAAAATTTTTATCAATTTTAGATAATTAAAATCAAAAATAAGAATATATATAGAATTTTAAAAGAGAGCTTTATTTATAAAAATATAAGATTAGCTATATTTTATCAAAAGTTAGAGTTATATATAATAGGCTCTGTATTTATAAATAGTTAATATAAAAGTATTTTAAATAGAATATTAATATTTTGAGTTTAAAATACTATTAATATTAAAATATAATATTTTTTTAATTTAATTTGATTATATTATTGGTTAGAAAGTATATAACTTCTATAATATTTTTACTTATTAGTTTCATTATTACTTAATTGTTTTATTAAATATACTATACAAAAGAGCTTATTGTTTAAGTATATAATATATATTCTTTTTGTAGTATTATTAAATATTGAGCTATTAAAAAAATCAATAGCATATCAGCTGATTTGATTTTTTGGGCCTTTTTTTGATAAACTGTTATAAAAATTTGCTTCTAAGTAGAATTGATTGTGTATTGTTTGATTGGTTGATAACTAATAAGAGTAAATTTAGAAGCTAATTTTCAAAAAAATAGTCTTTTTAACTTATTTTTGGCTTATAACTAAATATATAAGTTTTGTAAATTTCTATGTACTTAGTTAGAAATGCAAGGCTAGTTAAAAAGACCATTTTGTGAAAATTTACTTTGCAATAAATTTTTGTAAAAAATTTTTTGATAATTCTTGATTATGATTGGCCAATTTTGAAGTTAAAACAAATTACCTGATATAGATTTGGATATAATAATATTTAGATTTTTATTGTTTAAAAGTAAATTATTGTATATGAAAGTATTAATACTCTTTGTAGTTTGTCTAAGAATAACAATATATATTAAGTTTAGTATTAATTTAGATTTGCTAAATTTTAAATTTTTTTAATATTATAAATTTGATTTTTGTTTACCTTAAGGATAAAGAGCTCTCTATAAAGTAAGAGCCTGCTTTAAAGTCTTAAATCAGTATTTGAAAATAAGAGAATACAAAGTATTCTCACTCGGTTAATAAAGTAAACACATAGGCACAGAGAGTTTAAATAGATAGCCTCTAGTTGGGTTATAGGTATAACATCTAGTATAAAACTTAGTAATAAGTAGACTACTTAAATAGATAACCAAAAGTAATATATATAGCTAGTTGTACTCTTCAAATATGTATATGATATAAAAATCATACTGTAAAAATTAAAACTATAATCGAATAAAATAAACAACGACCAAGAGATCACCTTAAAATCAAAAAAAAATTGATTTTTAAAAAGTTAGCAAATTTTTAGCTTTTTAATAAATTATAAAAGCTAAAATTATTTTGTTGTTATTTTGTTATAACAGAAAGAAAGAGAAAAACAGTTTTTAAACAAGAAATAAAAATCTTGCTAATTATTAACAAGCAGTAATTAAGCAAGATTACAAATCAAGAAAACTAAAATTTTACTAAATGTATAGTTGTTGTAATGTAGTAAAGAAAATATATTGCTAAAAAATATTAAAGTTTACTTGATATTATAAAAATTTCTTTAATTATAATAACTTTTATTTTTTGAAGTTTTATTTTGTTTTATCATTTTGTAAGAATAATATTTAATAATATCTAGTTATTTATTTAATTTTAAATATAAAATAGAGTGTGGCAACTTAGTGAAGTGGTCAAGTTGTCACCCCAAGTGCAGGTCTAGAGTTTAATTCCTACTAGTAACAATATTGAATATCAAAAACTTGTATATTTTCAATATAACAACTTAATTAGATGTACTAGGTATAGAGGTGTAGTGACATAGAGTAGTAGTTAAGTTGTTAACCAAGCAGCAAGTTTAGAGTTCAATTTCCACTGGAGACATTTTTTGAAAAATAGACTGTATTATGGTAACATTTATTCGACAATCAGTTGAGTATATCACCTGTAATCTTGGTATCACTATCTTGAAATAAAAGCTTTAAGATAATTCAAATCCAAGAAACCAAAATATTTGAACCCATTTGGCAAGACCTGAGCTAGGAGTAGTATAGATCTTTGATGATATTATAGAAAACTAAAACTGGAGACTGAATAACTAGACAAACAATCCTGGAGCAAGAAGTGTCCACCAACCTGGCTACCGGAGTTGTACTGGAGGAAAAGGTCTGATGTTACAGAATTCAGAACCAAGAGAAGTAAACCAGAAAGCACTTAGAGTCTAGGTACAACTACTCTTCTAGGCTAACTGGTTTGGTAGTTGGGGGGATTGGTATAAGGGCCGGTTGGAAGTGGATATCAGGATCAGAACAAACCTTGTAAAGAGCAAGGAGTAAGTAACAATAGTGGTGATAAAGACTGCAAGTTCTAGTCCTCAGATTGGGGCATATGTTACTAAAAAACCCAGGTGATATATGTATAGAACATGTAACACTCTGGTAGGTTTATGCTATAGAGTTACCCAAACTACCATGTATTTGTAGGTCTTTACTATCAATCTTTACTCGCTTGACAATTAAATGATAACTGGAGTATCATACCAGATACTACCACTAACAATATATTTATACAGATAACCATTTATTCACTAAAAATAACTCAAAGAGATTACGAGAATGAAAATTAGAACTTCCCCTATTTGAATTGATACTTTATATATTATTACTAATACATATTTGATTACTATATTGTTTATGCAATACTAATCACTACTGATTACTATATTGTTTATACAATACTAATTGCTACTGATTACTATATTGTTTATGCAATTACTACTTTAGACTTTTAATTAAATCATGATCACCTGATATATTATGTATTAATTAGATTACCAATCAACATGTACCTGATCACTAGTCATATGAGTACCGCATAGTACTACGACATGAGCTAGAACCCTAGTAACTTCGTCTTGAAGTTACAACAATTCATATCTATCCCACCAAGTTTTCTCATTTCAAAGTGACTATCAAATACTGTACTAACCAATTTCTCTGAACTACACTTGGCTATTTGATCCAAATACAATCACTTCATGAAATTAATCTCCTTCATGCTATTTGATATAGTACAATCCTGATTTATATTAATCTTTGGCACCCTAGACCTTATATCTTTATATTGCTATTGGCTATATTGCTACTGAAATCATTGATAACATCCTATTTCTTATTTTTAGTCTTAGTTCATCAATCAATTTTACTTTCAAGTGGCCAATTTCATCACATTCAGCGCTATTCAGACTCTATTCAGATGCTTCATGCTTATTTTTAAAAGATTTTTGATGATTATTAAATGCTGTCGACTTATCTTTTTTTTTCTCTATTTTATTTTTAGAGCAATTTCTAGAATCATTCATTCTACCATCTGCAGCTTCACAACCTTTATTATCATTTTCTGCATCATCGCTCACACTTTTAGCAGATTTCAATTCAGGCATTACTTCACCAACTTCTAGGAACTCATTAGGGAAGTTTTCAACTTTCATTTTATTTATATGATTCGATTTATCAGAGTCTATTATGTTAATGATTTCACTTTTTTCTTTCTCATCACAATCGACATCATCATTCTCCATTGATTCACTTTTAATGCATCTAATATCTATAAAATTGCTTTTCTCATCTTCACTATTTTCTATCACACAATCCTCATTTACTACAAATGATGCTTTTCTGGAGTCTAATTCAATTATATAACAGCACTGGCCATTTTTTCATTTAATGTTGTATCTAGATCTCACGATCCATAACATTCCAAGAACTATATCTGAAGTCAACTCACATATAATGTAAAGCATCTAATTTATATCAATACTATACACAACAACATCAGCACAAGAAACACATCCAACGACATTATCTATACCACCAACACTTGATCCCTTGTTTAAACATCTTCAGGTTAGCCTTTTCCTTTTCATATAGTTCATGTTTATTAAATTCAAAGATGAACTAAGCCTAATCGACATTTTTGCAGATTTTCCATTTATTTTTACCAACTTTTCTACCACATCATTATTGTCCTTAACCTTTACTTTCATACTAAATTTTCAACATTCAAAATTTCTTTTTTTACTAACATCTACAGGACATATATCCAACCACTTATTATTCAAATGTTGACCACGAACTTGATCCTTTTGGAACAA